TTAAATTAGAATATATGGGGCCCGGGCAACTTTTAAGGCACCATTAAAAAAAAATAATTAACTATTTTTTAGTTTTTTTTTTTTTTTTTTTTTTTTTGCCATAGGGTGTATGTGCTCGCTGTTGAGAGACAGAGACAGAGAGAAGAAAAGTGAGAAATCACTCCTCCCCACCCCCCTGCAGGAGGATGGTCATGCTGCAATCCTTCTCCTGTATTTTCCTCTTGGGACTTTGGCCACATATGCACATGCAGTCCGTGTGCTTTTTCAAGCCGCCAAGTCTGGGGATCAAACTACAGTCAAGCATGTGGGAATCCAGTGCTGTAACCACTACACCACCTGCTGGCTCCTAAAAGGCATAATTTAAAGCAGGGGCCCCAACCCTGGGCTGTAGATGAGTGTCAGTTTACGGCCTGTCCACCAGGCTGGGTGTGCAGTGGGAGACGGGCAATGGGTGAGCCAGGGAGGCTTCCCCTGCGGTGCAGTCGCTCCCTACTGCTGTGTAACCCACTGGGCTCCATCGCCTGCTGGATCAGCAGCAGCATCGGGTTCTCATGGGAGTGCAAAGCCTACTGCTATGCAATCGTCCCCCTGTATATTGCAATGTGGTAGTGGTGGGAGTGGAGTGCCTGGTGGAGGTGGTGCACCCGGGGCATCCCAGGACCAACTCTTCACCCCCTGTGGAGGGACTGTCTTCTGTGAGTCTGGCCCCTGGAGCTGAGAAGGTAGGGAATGCTGATTTAAAGCTGTAAAGGTGAGGGGGCTGGGTGGGGCAGTGCCGTGAGACATGGAGCTCTGGGAGTTCTGACTCACACGGGCAACTCCTGGGTTCACGCCCAAAGGTCTCCCTGAGTGCAAGGGCACACACATGTCCACGACCCAGGTTTGACTGAGGCTAGAGGTATTACCTGTGTGAAGACCCACCTGTGGGTGCCATCCCCTGTCTCTTCCTCTGTCCCTCTTGCTCATGGAGGAAATAAACAGACAAGAACAACAAAAATAAATAAAGCTCTCCAAATGATTGCATAGGAGAGCTTAGGTGACTGTCCAAGTGATTGCTGAGAGCTTAGGTGGACTGTCCCTCTCTCTTCACCTCTCAGTCTTCTCTGAGCGGTAGGAAGGCCAGGGCTGTCCCCATTTTACAGTTGAGGAGACTGAGGCTCAGAAAGTTGTATGGGCTTGCCCTGAGTTAGTGGCAGACTTGGGACTAGAAGTCAGGGGCCTCCCTCCAGCCAGCCCTGCTGCGTTGCTGTATGGACATCCTGTGGTTCTGTGATTTCTGAACGGAATAACAACTAACCCTGTATTGTACGTGAGTACCGGGCCCTATGCCAGGTCTGCAGGAAAAAGAGGACACACCCTTGTCCTCAAGGGGCTCCTGGTCCAGGAAGGAAGATGAGAGGCCGAAGGCAAAGGAGATAGAGCTTCACAGCCAAGGAAGGAAGGAGCCTGAGCATCACCCACAAAGGGCTTCATTAGAGAGAGTCCCTTTGGAGTCGCTCTGTTTTGGACATGCTGAGTCTGAGATGTGGATTAGACAGACAGGTAACTGGTACACAGAGCTGCTGGAGAAGTGATCTGGGTCTTAGGACAGAGGTGCCATCTGGGAGTCAAGCTCTGGGGACAGCTGAATAGAGGGATGGCTGAGGAAAATGTGTGTGGATGCCACTGAGGCCAAATGTGAATGGGTGAGGAAGCAAAGGAAGGCGAGGGCCTGAAGATTTCAATGAAAGGAGGGAGCAAAGGCAGGCAGAGGACAGGCAGTGTGGTCAGAGAGGGCGGCCTGCAGGATCGATCTGGGGGAAGCAGAGCTGCAGAGCACGCGGAAGCCTGGGGCCCTGTGCACACATAGCGCTCTCTGACGGAGCAGTTCCAAGTCCCATTAGTTCTGGAGACACTGGCAATGCCTCTGAGGGTGCAGGGTGCACAGTGCATCTCGTTTGCTGAGGACAGTGGGATAAACGGCTCGGACAGGCAGTGCTGAAACAGTTCCAATGACACAGGCAGGAGATGCCACGCAAGGAAGCCCCCAGTCTGAGGAGGCTCATACCCACCTCCACCACTGCAGAGCCAGAGCCCAGGTGTCCCTAATGCCACTCTGGGCTCAGCCTTAGCTCCTGCATCAGCCTGGCCTTCAGCTCAACTCCCTTCACCCCCACCCTGCAGTGCAGCGATCAGGTTTCACTCCTGCTAGCTGGTTCCCACACTGCCTCCTTGATTTTTTTGGGTGATTTTCATCAAACCCCCTGAAAAGCAGAGAATGGCCTTCCCTGCTTGCTTTGAAACCAGCCCATTTTGTACAGGATACAGAGCCTGGGGACCTGGCCCAATTAGAACAGTAAACGGACAGCCCCTCCCATGATCACCAGGGGCCACGGTGGGTATGGCGGGTACGGAACCTTCTTATCTTCTTGGGAATCGAGGCAATCCTGACATGAGGGGAGAGCACATCCCAGCGCCTGGCCACGTGCTGCCAGTGCCCCCGGCTACAGTCCTGGCTGTGTGCAGAGCCCAGTGGGCGCTGGTGGGCGTGGTGGAGGGGGCAGAACAGAGATGAAACAGCCTTGATTCTCGTTCTCTCAGAACAGACCAGTGGTAGGACAGGTAGAAAGACAGGGGCTCGCAGTAGGGACACCTATCTCAGGGGTGCAGAGACTACATGTACAAAGGGTGCGTCCCATCAGGTGTGGCTGGAGAGACCACCTTCAAGGTCCCTCCCCTACTCGAAAATACATGCTTGAAGGCTGGGATGAACGAGAGCCTGTGTTGGCAGCGTGGACAAGACCTCACACTGGGAGCCATCATTTAAGGAATTAAAAGCCACTGCCCTGGGGTCTCTCTCTCTCTCCTTCCTGCCACACTCAGTGTCTAAACCGCAAAGGCAGAACCAAGAAAAGCCGCGATTTGTGAAAAGCATCTCTTCAGTCCTTTCTCTGCCCTGTCTAGGAGCTGGGAATGCTCCGGTCACCAAATCAAGGATTAACTATCTTGTTTTCCAGTCCCCTTCTCTGACCCAATAATCACAGAAACAAGCCATTCCCCAGTGCCTGGGATTACTAAACAAAGCAGCTGTCCCCTGGTCAGCAGCTTCATTAGGCGTGTGCCAGCAGCCCACCAGCTCTCCAGGTCAGGAACCCATCTGTCCTCCTCTGGCAGCCTCCACTGGGCTGCTGGGTGGCAGCAGGCTAGATGCACGAGGGGGTGGCATGGAGGGACTGCTTCCATTTCAGCAGCTGATGCAGGCTCGGCCCTGAGCCTCTTCCCACTTCCTGGTGATAAGCCGCGCT